TTCATGTACTTAAATCCCACAGTCATCTATAATGTGTAATATGACTCTGGCATTTGTGGCAGGGAATTAAAAAGAATGGAAATGAATTTTGTCATTCACAAATGTGGCTTGCATTGTCTCTCAATGATACAAACAGACTAATGAAACAACCTTAATGAATAATATTTTAGGTGGTTCTGTTTTTATTAGTATCACATATAAAAGATCCCATATCAAATAAAGATGGTTTCACTCATACCGGTTGTTTAACATAGCTTAGATATAAATATGTCTTTTAGTTTACATAGTATGAAAGTTACCTTGTAAAATAATTGCTTTTTCAGTTGTATATCCTATTGTTTAGAACCCTTTGTGGTCTTGATGTAATCATTTTCTGGAAGATCATAGAAACCCTTTTCATAGGATTTATTTAACCAGTATGCTTGAGAATTTTTATATCTTCTACTCTTTTGTGTCTGGGATCTTACATCCTTTCTGAACTTGTTCTGGCCTTTCTGGGGGAGAGTTGCCATTTCATTTTTTTTATTTTCTATGGGAAAATAATATAGTGCAAAATGGAGATATGTAGACAACCACTTTTACTTTATCCTCTTTGTATTGAAATAACTTATGAAACGAGACAGTAGTTAACAAGTCGTAAATTGGATGCATCTTATTATTGAAAATTGGATTATGATCTAGAATAAAATTTTCTTCTAACTTCTGGTTCAGCTCTGGTGATTTGTCAATTTAATTTCAAACTAGAAGGCCTAGTAGTGAATTTGATTTATAAAAATTGTTTCAGGTGTTGGAAACTAAAACTTCTTGATAGGAATATTTTCTTTATGACAAACAAAACTTACTCTGAACTCTGTAAAATCTGTGAGATAATGTATATTTAGTAATACAGCTGGTGGTTATTTGTAATTTGGTTAAAAACATCTTTTCAGAGGCACTCCGTAGAAAGTAAGTGTAATGCATCTGTGATAGACAAGGATTGTTACCATTCCTTACTGTGAAAAATTCCAAAATATGTAGTGAAATGACATTTTTAACCTTTCACTTGCTTCAGTGATTGATTTCTCTTCTGGTGAAGATTCAGAGAAATTGATGAAAGATGGAATACCATTTCTTTCATTTATCAATACATATTTTGTTAAGTCATTTAGTCTTATGAAAAGTGTCCTATTTTATATTCAGTTCTATAAATGTTACCCAGGAATGGTGTGTGTGTGTTGGGGGATTGCTGTTAGAAAGCATCACTTTAGAAAAAGCTTTTAACACTTTATAAAGGAAACCATGAGAGATAATAAAGAAACAATGACGCTAAATCTCAGCCTACTGTATAGGAGCCTTCACTGAACAAGGAATTTGTAATCCTATCCTGTCTCACTCAGTTTTTCCATCATATTGATTTTGTTTGTTGAATACCGCAGGGAAAGATGTAAGGGTCACATTAAGTATATTTGGTATAAATACAGGAAAAAAGGAATTTTCTGCTTATTGGAATAATATCTTTGTATTTTTAAACACTAAGCTTATTGGTCAGTTTTGCCTTATGTACATGAGTGTTGGTTTGGTCTGACTGCTTTCTCTTCTGAGCTTTTCTGTCTTCCTTGTAGTCTGATAATTCTCAGAGTTTTGATGGCAAATTGAAGTAGTAAGAATTATTTCCTTACCTATGTTAGTTATGTACACCCAGAGCAGGGGATACACCTTGGCCTATGTTATGAATCATAAAATAAGCAGTGGATATGGGAATTTGTAAGAATTTGTTTCTATCTGGGGGTTCAAGTTTTTGATGTGCTACGTAATTGAGGGAAAATGCCGTATTCCTTGCTGCTCTGTTTGAAAAATAGATGGAAGCATGGGAGGAGCCTCAGACTTCTGCAGCAGGATTTGGTCTGAGTAGAAAAGGAAGATTTTTGTTTCAAATTGCCAGCTGCTTATGTCAGACTGACTCCCTTATTATGCTTTTAGCTGGCCTGTCAATATGGCCAAACAGCTAGATAAGTGCGGGGCAGGACAAAGGGCTCTTTGCACAGCGGGGAGGCAGTGTTGGTGGGGGAGGGGTAGGAGGTAGGAAAGGCAGGAGGAGGAGGAGGTTCTTTTCCCGGGGAGATTATTCAGTTTGGCATACAGTTAAAGAAATCATTTATAGTTCCCACTCGAGCATTGAATTTGTGCCAACTATATACTCTTAACCCCAAGTTTAGTTTATCCCTGAATATCAGGTAGCGATTCATCCCCTCCTCCTAGGAAAAATAAAAAAAACTAAAGCTTTGTATAGGTTAAAAGAAAGTAAATCCCATGCCCACCACCCTTCTAAATACAAGTCACCTCCTGAGGAGACTGGTTCTAGAGCATCTGACAGCAGAATTTTCATTAAGAAATGGAAAAGAATATTTTATCTGTATGAAACTTCTTTATTTCAGTACACATACTGTCCTTATGTAGATTGGGATTAGGCCACAATAGGTAGAATAATTTGTTGTGCTTTGTGAAATAGTTGCATAGTGTTAGCTCCAATTTCATTTCATTTAAGATTTTTTTTTTTTTTTTTTTTTAAGTAATCTCTACATCCAGCGTCTGACCCAGTATGGGACTCGAACTCACAACCCTGAGATCAGGAGTCCCATGTTCTACCTACTAAGCCAGCCAGGTCCCTCTGTTAGCTCCATTTTTAGATCAGTAATATGGAGCCCCCCCAGCCTTCATGTGTTGGATTGCCATCATATAAAATGCAAACTGAAGAAAGGCTACTTGTCTCATCCTTACTTCCTAGAGAACCAGATATTCCCTGGAGATTACTTCCTCCCCACCCACCCTCTTTTAGGTTAGGCACAACCTAGTTTGATACGTTTGTGCTCAGCTCCCAGCACAATGTGGGGTGGTTGCATTCAGCTTATTAAAATCAATATGAATCACGGAGTTGGAAGAAATCTGTCATCTGGCCCTTTAAGCAAAATCACAATGAAATATTTCAAAGTTTGGGCCCCTTTGAAGTTTTCATTAAAATATTAAACCAGTCAGTATCCTGAGAAGTATTTTTAGTTACTTTTAAAATAAATGTCAAACAAACAATACATCTAGTTCTTTAAAAAAAAAAAGTATAGGGGCGCCTGGGTGGCGCAGTCGGTTAAGCGTCCGACTTCAGCCAGGTCGATCTCACGGTCCGTGAATTCGAGCCCCGCGTCGGGCTCTGGGCTGATGGCTCAGAGCCTGGAGCCTGTTTCTGATTCTGTGTCTCCCTCTCTCTCTGCCCCTCCCCCGTTCATGCTCTGTCTCTCTCTGTCCCAAAAATAAATAAACGTTGAAAAAAAAAAAAGTATATATTAAAGAATTGCATTCATATACAAATTAGATAAGCAATTATTTGGATTACAAAAGGATTCTTCTTTTATAAAGAGTATATGCTGAGATTCTTTTAAATGCTTAATATAATTTAAGAGAATTTGATTTTTGGAAATAATTGGTTGAAACCCAGTTTTCCAAGGGTACATCTGTTAACTTGAATTGAGATACTACCTGTTTTGCAGTATTACTAAACTAGCTTTAAAGTGTTGCCTTCTAGCCAGACTGCAGGAGACAGTAAAGGGAACTGGAAGCTAATTTTTGCTCATGGTTTTTAGACCTTGTGGCTATTAGCAAAGAAGAAACATTTTAACTTAATCAAATAAGTAGAAAAAATGGCCGTTAGTGCACATTCTAATATTGAGCAAATCTGACCAAGTTTTGTGTCATTTTCCTCTGTAAAAAAAAAAAGTGGTGTTACTTTATTTTATATTTTTATGTGTAATGGGTTTTTACAATAATGATATAATATTTTGATCTGAAAAGGGAAATTTGAGTGACTATCATTTCCTTTAGGTTTTTTTTTATTAGTGAACTAGCAACATTAATATGAAGTTTAGTAAGCTATGTTTTACGTATTATAAAAATTTAGGGTAGTCATTTCTTCTCTTTGTAATTCACTCACATGGATTATTTCTATAGATTTGTGTGACTAAAATAGAAGCCATCTAGTTCAAACATTGGCCTCCATTCAGACCATTTTCTCCTCAGGTGCCATATTGCTAGCACTAGAGTAAACATCTTTTCACACACATGTGCATATACACACATACTACTCTTTCCAAATAATTAGAAATCTCTTCATCTTGGCTTCATCTGCTACTGTTACCTGAATCTTGCCAGGGACCTTAAAACGTTCAGGACGGGGAAATTTTGACTCCAGAGGTTTTGAAAACTGCCTTGGTTACCCAGACAGCTAATCTGATTTTCAGTGAGACCTAGCCAGCAGTAGACAAGAATGGAGGTGAAACAGCAATGTACCTCATCTTGACTATGTAGCTGCTCCACCTTATTTCCTGCTATTATTATCCTACAGCGCCTCTCCCTAACAAAAAAGAAACTAGGACAAAGGGGGAAAACTGGGTGGGCTCTTAAGATTTTTTTTTTATTATGGCTAGGTTTGTTTTTATGTTTTTGTTTTAAATTTTTTTTAATGTTTATTTATCTCTGAGACAGAGAGAGACAGAGCATGAGTGGGGGGGGGGGCAGAGAGAGAGGGAGACACTGAATCTGAAGCAGGCTCCAGGCTCTGAGCTGTCAGCACAGAGCCTGACACGGGGCTTGAACTCACAGACCGCGAGATCATGACCTGCGCTGAAGTCAGATGCTCAACCGACTGAGCCAGCCAGGCGCCCCTATGTATTTTGTTTTTAAAGAAATTTTTAAAGTTTATTTATTTTGAGAGAGAGAGAGAGAGTGTGAGCAGGGCAGTGGCAGAGAGAGGAGACAGAGAATCCCAAGCAGGCTTCAAGTGGTCAGCACCCAGAGCCGGATGTGGGGCTCGCTCACAAAACCATGAGATCATGACCTGAGCTTAAATCAAAAGTCTGGCGCTTAACTGACTGAGGCACCCACATGCCCCTGCTTATATGTATTGAAATGCAAAGTTAATTTGTCCTTTTCCTAAAAGTCAGTAGTGAAAGAGATTTCATAACTTCAGTGTCTTCTACTTTATTTCTTAATAAACCATTTCATTTCAGATCCTTTGCCTTACCAAAAAAAAAAAAATGTTTTTAAGCATACTTAATTTTCATTGACTGTTCACACAATCATTATTACCACCAGATGCCACCTGAAGTAATAACTTGACGAAAAGGAGAAATCTCTTCTGTGGATAATATTTGAAGTTTTATTGGGAATTACTTATTTATGTAACATAGACTTATGACAAAGGTTAAAAACTTAAACCTTGGGGCGCCTGGGTGGCGCAGTCAGTTAAGCGTCCGACTTCAGCCAGGTCACGATCTCGCGGTCCGTGAGTTCGAGCCCCGCGTCAGGCTCTGGGCTGATGGCTCAGAGCCTGGAGCCTGTTTCCGATTCTGTGTCTCCCTCTCTCTCTGCCCCTTGCCTGTTCATGCTCTGTCTCTCTCTGTCCCAAAAATAAATAAACGTTGAAAAAAAAATTAAAAAAAAAAACAAAACAACTTAAACCTTGTTATATATGTTTGTCCCTCTACCTTAGTGGAAGTGAAGTTGTTTGCAATACAGATTTTTTATTCTTTAGAATTCTTTCTTCAAGCTGCATAATTTATATTCTTCAAGCCGCCTTTTTCCCACACCATCACCCAAAACAAGAGATTTTTATCATTTTTATTGTGTTCTGATACTGAGATTTTCTCCCCCCCACCCCTTGAATATGAAGAATCAAATAAAACTCAGTAATCTAATAAATGTGTGTACTACTGAGTATAGTAAGAGGATTATTACATAACTCTTAGAGATTATGATCTGGCTAGGATGTTCTAATACCATTTTAGCATATTTTATAATGTTGACATGTTAATCTTAATGTACGTGCATATGAATCTCATTGTTTGAAATTTGTACCCATTTTTTGTCATTTTATATGAGGTTGTTGTGGTGTGTTACCCTTTCCCCACCTCTGGACTCCTTGGTTTTTTATTCCTGTCCTGTTCCGATCTTTGGCTTATGTTGGAAAATTCTATTTCTTTCTGCCAATCTCCGTGCATGCCACAACACATACAATTTGTACTCTCACATCTCTGTGAAGGAGGATGTTCTCCAGTTAATAAGCAACTGTTTGGGCTTTCTCTGTATCCAAGGAAGGTTTTATTTAAGTGGAAGGACCTGTTGGCACTTAGATTGCCTCTGCATTTATGTTACCTTTTCTTTTATTAATGTAGCCTTGTTGAAAGTTGACTTGTTTTATAAGAGAAACCAGACAGAAAGGAAAGAGACATAGTTAGATATGTTTAATTTAAAAAACACTTGTTTTTTAAAATAAATGTTTATTATGATAACATTTGAGTTAGAATCTAAAGGGCACTTTTAAAACTTTAGTTCTAAAGACAAAAGAGTTTAACCTCCTAAAATAGAACAAAGAATAGTGTTTTTGAGGCAATATGATTGCATGCTGAATGTAGCATGAGATTCTTGTATGAATGTGTAAATTTTTTTTCAAATTCTGTGGTGCAAGTTAGTGTAACCACACAAATTGTCTTTATGCCTGAAAAATATTAGATGGAATGACTTTTTAAAAATACAGTAACAGGTTTGAGGAAAATGTGGAAGCAAGTCCAACATTTTTGAAGTCCCTTTTTATTGATTTTTGTTCTTACTAGACACATTTAGTTTTATTTATGGCAATTAGAACTTAATTGTCATAGCCTAGTAATAGAACAAAATAAGGGTAGGTTGACATGGTGTAGGATGTGTCTCATTTTAGGATGAGGCTAAAATTGTTCTGCATTGTTCTGTATTTTCATATTTAGGCTACTTTTATTGAAAAAGTTTACGTAGTATTTTAAAACCTATGAAGTGGCATAAAATATTCACAGATTAAATAGTCACTTTATTGGTGACTCGTTATATAAGCAATACTAAAACCAGATATTTACTAAAAATCCCCAAAAGAAAATTATACTAGCATCATATATGGAGCTCTGAACTTCCTGTAGGCAAACTACTTAGAACAAAACAAGTAGGTAACAATGCCAATACTAAGGCTCTTACTTTGGAGCCTCAGCTGGTTGACCTGACCCAGATGTTTTTACCTCACAGTTCCTAACTTAACTCCTAGGTCACTAAGATTTGAAGTGTTGCTGGGAATAAAGTATCCGTTCATAAATTGAATAGGAGTCTTACTAGGCCATGTGTGGAGGCCCATGGGAAGACATGTTATTTTTAGAGAAGCAAGGCTCTTGAGTAAGTGTAACTTTCCCTTCATAGTTTATCATGAACAGTTGGTATGAAAAGGAATGACTGGAAGTTTGCAGAATACACTGAGCAACAAGAAGAGACACAGACATATCCCCCTTAATAAAGTATGTGCTAGGCAAGAGACAAAGAAAACATTTTTTTAATAGAATACATTAGTTTTTCTGAACTTCATAATATTAGGAATGTGTTTCTATGGAAAATCATTATTCAAAGGATTGAGTTGAATATCTTTTGTGAAAATAGTAAAAAAAAAAAAAAGTTTTATAAATAGAGGAACAGTCCTGGTTTGTGCCTACCACATAATTAGTAATAGCACCCCTTTTACTCTCAAAAATGTCCCAGTTCAGGGGCTCCTGGGTGGCCCTGAGCCACCATCTGGTTTGTTGAGCATCTCAGCTCAGGTCATGATCATGTGGTTCCTGAGTTCCAGTGAGTTCACTGTTATCGGCATGGAACCTACTTAGTATCCTCTGTCCCCTTCTCTCTCTGCATCTCCCCCACTTGCTCTCTCGCTCGCTCTCTCTCTTTCTCTGTCTCTCTCAAAAATAAAGATTTAAAAAATAGTAATAAAGTAAAAACAACAGTGTCCCAGTTTGGACCATAAATTATATGCTCACCCTACTTACAGAGGACCATGGAACTTTTCTTGACTACAAAGCAACCCACTTTTCTTTTATATAGCTCTCTGATTCTCCTCTGCTAGGATTTGTCTGTTGGCCTGTCTGAGCCCCTTTCCACATGGGTAGTTCTTGGAGTATCTATTTCTTTTCCTTTTAGTTGTTGGTAAGGGAGGCGATATATACAGATATGGTTGACTTTTGTTATAGAAATTACAAATACAGTAAAATAGAGGGAATAGAAAAATAGATTCCCTTTGGATTTTATTTAAACCATTCCATTTGATTGAGGTACGGTCGAATCTTCTTAGTTTATAGGTTCTGTGTCTCTTATATGTAATATACTTGTTAAATTTACCGTTGTGTAGAGTTCCTACTCTTTGGATGTTGGAGATTGCACCTCCATGGTGTCATTTAACATATTCTATTAGATGACCTCTCCTGCCCATATTTCATGTAAATGAGTTATTAGGTGGGTTGCAAATATATTTTATAATAGTATAGTATGCTTCCACCAAGAATTACATAATACCTACCTGTCTTTCTGATGTTAAGCAGCTGTTGGTATTCATCACCTAAAACAGCCCTTTTTTATTTGTGTGTGTGTGTGTGGTATATTTTTATTTTATTTTATTTTTAAGTGTTTATTTTTGAGAGAGAGACAGAGAGAGCAAGCAGGGGAGAGGCAGAGAGAGGAGGACAGAGGGTCCATAGCTGGCTCCACCCTCAAAGCAGTGAGTCCGATGTGGGGCTTGAACTCATGAACTGTGAGATCATGACCTGACCCGAAGTTGGACGCTCAACTGACTGAGCTACCCAGATACCCCTAGATCAGCCATTCTTAAACTTTACACTTGCAAAATGTGAAAGCCCCAAAGAGATTTCAAGGATTGTATCAAGATTTACCAGATTAGAAACTGAAACAAAAAATTTATTTTTTTAATGTTCATTTGTTTGTTTGTTTTTATTTGAAGGGGGTGGGGGCATTGAGGAGAAAATCCCAAGCAGGTTGCAGGCTGTCAGCCTAGAGCCTGATGTGGGGCTTGAACCCAGGAACTGTGAAATCATAACCAGAGCCAAAATCAAGAGTTGGACGTTTAACTGAGCCACCCAGACACCCCAAAACAAAACTTTTAAATTATTTATCAACTGATTTTAAAATAATGTAACAAATCGTGCTAACATAAATGACATACATGGTTTTTGTGAAGAGTAACTGTATTTCCAAAGTTTTTAAAAAGTGGCCTTGTTTTACATTTTTGCAAATCTCACAGTGTCTGACTTAATAGAAGACAGCTGCTTTCTCACAGCTGCTTCTGCATTTAATTTGTTGTGATAAGTTGTTTTGGTTGAAGACTGGAGAAAATCTGGCCTCACACTGATAATGTAGTTGAAAAGAGAAAGACCTCACATACCCCTTGAAAGAATCTTGGGGACTTCAGGAGTTCTCAGACTGCACATTAAGAACAATGGGCCTAGATCCATTAATTCCTTTATGATTGCAAAGTGGTGATATTTTATCATTAACTTATTTTCTGTAATACTCCCTCTCATTTATTTGGTTACCTAAGGTACAGTTTGAATGGGAAAGGCAAGATCTGTGTTTGTTTGTTTGTTTTTTCTCCCTTACCAGTTTTCAAAATGTAATGGGTTGGTAACCTAGCAGTCTCCATAGGTGATTAGTGAAATGTTATTGTTGCATATTTATGATTTTAAATATGTTTGATGTGTTTTAGTCCCTTGCAGTTGTTATTTTTAACATTCAAATTGTCCCACATTTGGCTGTTGGCTTCTGTGCCCTTTTTACTCATCATCACTTGTTTCCTGGCTTTTTTTTTTCGTGCTTTCTAGTATGACAAGATGTTCCAAGATCATTTTGTACATTTCCTGCCCCAAACTTGAAATTACCAATTTCTACAACACACAGTTTTCTTTCAGTAGGAAATGGTACTTAGAGAACACAGTCTGGGTGCTAGGAGTGTTCATGGCTCTTGGGTTGGTCCTTGTTCCTAGGACTTTTTCAATGGACAGAACTAAAAACTGGTTTCTTTTCTTTCCTTTTTTTTTTTTTGTTTGTTTCTTTTAAAAATATCACTTGTTCATATTTGATAACTTTTTTTTTAATTCAGTAGTATGTAATTTTTTGTGTAAACCTAATCTTTTCCTCATTCTCCAAATTCCAGTTTCCACTAACACTAGTGCAATTACTGTTTGCTTTGTCCCACATTGCACACACAACAGTTTTAGAATGTCAGAAAAATATGATCACTGGAAAGTGAGTTTGTGCTCTTAGGTTATATCCTCTAAGGGTGTATAGTCAAATTACAGTGTTTTATAGTCTCTTGAATTAACTCTTCTCTATGTGGTTATGCTACCAACTTGGTACACAGTGAAGTTAATTTGTTTCAATTCAATTCAGATTTTTCAGGGATTACTTTTTGTTTTGTAATATATAAAATAGCAGTACTAAATGAAATGTAAAAATCTGCCTGTAGTCGGGGAAATCTACCTTATAGTCTTTTCTATTCCTGTTCTCCCTGTCCCTATATGTAAGACTTGACAGAGTCATCTTGAATACTTAAGGTGATTTTGTCATAGTATTTCTTTAGTAACACAAAAAGCATTTAAGTTAATTTACTAAAATTATCTGCCTTTAGGGGCGCCTGGGTGGCTCAGTCGGGTGAGCGTCCGACATTGGCTCAGGCTATGTTATCGTGTTTGTGAGTTCAAGCCCCACATC